CTCGTCCTCGAGCCCTGACATCCCATGGAGAGACAGTCCTGGAAACACCCCTGAAAGCTCCAACTTCCTGCGAGGCCTTGCGCACGCGCAAGCTTGCGTTTGGGTGCGAAGTCTCGGCTGCGGCTCTCAGGCGTGGGAGCAGTGAAGCGCACGCGCAAATCCCGTTCTGCGTGTGCGCACCGGGGTTGGAGTGCGAAGTCTCAAAGCCAGCGCTTCGGTCGGGTGAGGGCTGCGGGCGTACGAACAGGTGAGGACAGTCAAGGGTGAGGCGTGGCTGGGATCGGCCAACGTGGCCTGCAAGATGGAGGTGTGAGGACCAGGGGCTGAGCATGCCGACGCGCCTCGGGCACGGGGGGCAGGCAGTCACGGGCTGGAACTCAGGTGGGGGTTCCCGAGCCTGGGACTCCACCACGAGGTTCTGTCCCCAGTGGACGCCTGATTGTTCCAAGTTGATTGAATGGGTGGCTGTGGGTGGCAGTGATAGGGCCCTTGGGCTGGGTCAGAGAGGTGCTAGGAGCGAATTCGGAGCTGAGGGGACAGGGCGCTGGGCTTTAACCCCGCCTGCCCCCTCTTGTATCTTAGAGACCCCAGGCTCCTGTCAGGACCCGACATGTCTACCCTGCCCACACCGCCCTATCCGTGACCCGCACTGCTCTGCCTCTTCCCTAACCTTCCTCCCCAACCCCGCCGCACAGTCCTTTCCATGACCTCCAGTTTGATGCTGGCCCGTGCCTCTGTCCCTTCCATGACCCTCCCCTCGAAGTTCCACCCAACCCCCTCCAAGCCCCCCACTCCTCTGCGTGGTCCTTACCTCCTCTCAAGCCCCGCCCCTAAGTCTGCTGGCTCCGCCCCTCTGTACCTTCCTTGACCCTCCTCACCCTTCTGTCCCCCCATGACCTGCCGCAAGCGCCACCTCTCTGCCTTTCAGGACCTTCCTTGAGACCCGGCCCCTCCTCTCTCTGTGCCTTCATTGACCCTCCCCTTATGGTGGCCCTCCATAACCTTCCTGAGACCCCATCCCTCTAGCCTTCCCAGGACGTGTCCTTCCTCTCTCCATTTCCCCAGTCCTAGTGTGGTGCTGTAGGGTAAGGCCTGGACCGCAAGGCGGGTCTGAGCCTCAAGGTTCCTCAGAAATCCTATACAGTATCGCTGTGAGTCGGAATCTATGCGCCAGCGATTTGCAACAACAAGCCCAGGACCCATGAGCGCTGGTGGCACAGCGGTTAAAGCAGTGGGCTTTGACTGGAAGATCAGTGGTTCAAATCTGCCAGCTGTTCCACCAGAGAAAGATCTAGCAGTCTGCTTCTATGAAGACTTCAGACTTGGAAACCTTATGAGACACTTTCATACTGTCCTATGGTGGTGGTGGCGGTGTGGTGGTGACGTGCTGTGGAGTCGGTTCCGACTCATAGCAACTCTGTATAGAGTTTCCGAGGCTGTCAATCATAATGGGAGCAGAAAGCCTCTTCTTTCTCCACAGAATGGCTGGTCGTTTCGAACTGCTGACCTTGAGGTTAGCAGCCTGACTCATAACCACTATGGTACCAGAGCTCCTACACTGTCTGTAGGGTCAGTATTAGACTAAATATACCACAGCAATATGCTAATCTTTATGGGAGGGGAGGGATGCTGATTTGTCCCCAGAGGAGGCTTTTGTCCAGCACTTGTGGCCTGGTCGGCCTTGATGCCTGTTTTCCCTTTCTGGGCCAGGAGGAACGAGCCCTTGTAGTTCAGTGACTAAGCACACAGCTTCTAATCGAAAGATCAGCTGCTTGAAACCACCAGCTACCATGTGGGAGAAAGATGTGGCGGTCTACTTCTGTAAAGATTTACAATCTTGGAAACCGCATTGTTAGGGTTGTGAAATGCCGTGGAGTCACTTCCGACTCACAGCGACCCTGTGTAGGGTATCCGAGGAACTGCTGATGGGTTTGAACTGCCACTTTGAGTTTCAAGTAGACCTTGTATTCCAGTGCTTATCCCACTGTGTGACACCAGGACTCTTGGAAACTTCATAGGGCAATTCTGTTCTGTCCAGCAGGGTCACGATGAGTCATAGTCAACTTGATGACAGAAGGAACCTTGGTGTTGCAGTGGTTAAGCACCCAGCTGCAAACCAAAAGGTCATTGGCTCTATAAACTCTTAGCTACCCCTGTGGAGAAAGATGTGGGAGTCTGGTCCCCAGTCTGCTTCCATACAGATTTATGGCCTTGGAAACCCTCTGGGGTAGTTCTCCAGCCTGTATGGTTTTTATGAGTCAGGAACACCACAGGCACTAACATTATTATCATTCATTTAAGGAGCCCTGGTGGCACACGAGGAGCCTGGGGAGCACTCACTGTAGGATGAGCATTGCCCCAGGGTTGGCAGTTCAAACCCACCAACTGCTCTGTGGGAGAAAGTTGAGGCTGTGTACTCCCATAAAGATTTACAGCCTGGGAAACCCTCTACAGGATTGCTACAAGTAACGAAATCAACTCAGTGGTATTGGGGTTTGGTTTTTGGTGGCACGGTGGTTAAAACATTGGTTGCTGACTAAAGGTCATAGGGGAGCTATGAGTCCGGACCAACTTGACAATAATGCATTTGGTTTTTTGAGGGGTGGGTCTAGCTGGGAGGAAAGCTCGTGACTCTCGATGCTGATCCTAGTAGTCTTGAGTAAGCAGGCTGGTACGATTTTTGGCCATTACCACGGCTTCTCCTTCAGGACCTGTCCTGGACGCCACAAACCTAGAAATTCAAATCAAGGGGGGCATCACACACTCCAAAAAGGCAGCAACAGTTAACTTAATCATTGTTGGTAGCCAGGGAGCTTTTAAAAAGACATCATATTCTGATCATACCCTACCCTAGACGAGATTCCAGCTAAACGAGTTAAACGAAAGAGCAAAAAACAAAAAAGAAAATATATTTGAATATCGAACTGATCTGAGAGAGCCCCGCATCCTTTACTAATCACTCCCCATTTTCTCCACTGCCCGAGCTTTTATAACATGACGTAAATATTTCAGTGAAATCTATGATACATAATTAATGAATGCTTCACTTTTCAGTGCTTCTCGACACTACTACACTCCTTCCCGACGGTTACCCTATTCTGTTTCTAACACCTTAGATTGATTTTGACTGTTTGTGATTTTATATCAATGGGAGCGGTGAGCTGACGAAGTGACTGTACCAGTGATCTCAAACACAGCAACAATTGTGAGGTTAGCATAAGGCCAGGTAACACTGTGTTCTGAGGTCCGTGGGGTCCCTTTGAGTCAGAACTGATGCGATGGTATTGGACAATAACGTATCAATGGAATCACACAATGTGAACTTTTTTTGAGCCTCATTTCTTTCCTACGTCCACATTCTCCTTTGTGAGTCGAGTTCCAACATATGAGTGTATTATTCCACTCTGCTTCTGTCTCCTTGTCAACACTTAGCATTGACTGACTTTCACTTTGGCCACGTTGGAGGGAATGAAGTGATATTTTTGTGGTTTAATTTATGTATATCACTGATGACTAATGAACTTTAAAGTTGAAACTTATTTATTTGTTTCTTGATGATTTAGTTATTCTCTTTTGTGCAATATCTTTTTTTTTTTTCTCTTGCTTTGCCTTTTTACTATTGATTTGTTGTTGTTGTTGTGTGCCGTGGAGTTGTTTCCGACTCATAGCGACCCTGCATAGGGTTTCCGAGGCTATAAATCTTTACAGGAGCAGAAAGCCTCATCTTTCTCCCGTGGAACCACTGGCAGTTTCGAACTGCTGACCGTGTAGATTAGCAGCCCAGTTCGTAACCACTACGCTATCAGAGCTCCTTCTTGATTTGTAGGAGTTCTTTATATATTCTGTTCTTTGTATGATAAATATATTGCAAGGACCTTTCTTTATTTTGTGTAATAACATTTGTTTTTTCTAAGTTTATATTTAACCTATTTTTATTCTTTGAATCATAATGGTTAGAATTCTAAATATGACACATATATCCCATAAAAATAATCTAATTGGATTTATGCACATACTTCCCCCCCCCCCCCCCGTAAACCTGGGAAAACAGAATTGAGCTGTTTATACAGTTAGTTGTGATTGTTCATTTCCTTTTAGCTGAGTCGGACTCGTGGTTACCCAGGTGTGTAGACTAGAATTCCGTAGGTTTGTTTCCTTTGAAAATTTTATTTACGTTATTGTGGAGAATGTACATAGCAAAACAACACCAGTTCAACACTTTCTGCCTATACAATTCAATAATACTGATTACTTTTTTCAAATTGTGCATGCATAGTTGTTTTAACTCAGTTATTTTTTTATAAAGCAAGAATGCTTACTTTTGTGATTCGTCAAATTAATTCAATTCCTTGTTCTTTGGGGGTTCAGATCTCTTTTCCTTTCAGTGCTGTTTCTGATCTTAGAGCTATTGCAGGTTCGGTTCCAGATCACCACAATAAAGCCACTACCCCAATAAAGTGAGTCACTGAAAAAAAAAATTTTTCATTCCAGTACATACCAAAGTTATGTTTGTGCAATAATTCTGTAGTCTCTTAAGTGTGCAATAAATAGCATACAATGTGATGCAGAGACACGAAGTGAACATGTGCGGTTCATGTGCGGTTGGAAAAACGTCACTGATAGACTTGCTGGGCGCACGGTTGCCCCAAACCTTCAATGTGTGAACAGTGCAGTGTATCTGTGAAGTTCAGTAAAGCAAGGCGCTTATCTCTAGCCTGTACCTGTGGACTTTCCAGATCCGCCAGTAAGTCTGAGGGGACATCTGTACCCGAGTCTGTGCGCATCTCTGTAACTGTGTGTTGAGGCATTTGTATGAGCTAATTCTGTTTGCTTCTGATTAAGCCTTACTGTACAGGCCATTTGTAATTTGCATTTGACTTCTATGGAGCTTCTGCAGGTCCTGAGGTCTCTGTATCCTTTCTCCGTCTGATCTTGCTCACTCTCTTCCGCACGCATGTTCTATAGCAGTTTGCCTTTCTCTGAAGGACCAAGCTGTAAAGATGCTGTACACAACAGAGATTCTGGATGTCTTCAGAAACACCCCGATCTTTGGTCTACTGGACCCAGAGGAGAGGCCAGAAACCACCTCCCAAGGAAACCCAGGGAGTCATCAAACGCTGAGTAATTTTCAGCACTTGGCAGTGACCAGGCCTCACCAAGCTGTGGGCCAAATCCAGGCGCTCTGCCGAAAATGGCTGCGCCCGGAGAAGCACACCAAGGAGCAGATGCTGGAACTGCTGGTGCTGGAGCAATTCCTGGGGGTGCTGCCCCCCAAGATCCAGATGTGGGTGAGGAGCAAACAGCCGAAGAACAGCAATGAGGCTGCAACGCTCCTGGCAAATTTGATCCAAGCGTGTGAAGTGAGAGGTGAGAGAGGGAGGAAGCGACCACCTGATTCCAGGTTTGGGATGTCTGCTGTGTATTTACTGAGGATTAAAAGCCCCCAAACAAAGCCAGAGCTCTGAGTCGCTTCCACCACACAGTGACCCACTAGGGCAGAGCAGAACTGCTCCAACTTTCAGAAGCTGTAAATCTTTAGGAAAGCAGAATGCCACATCTTTCTCCCTTGCAAGCAGCTGGTGTTTTCAAACGGCCAACATTTTGGTTAGCAACGTTTAGCTCATCACACCACCTGGTCTTCTCTGGCACAACTGGAGTAGGAGCCAGATAAAGACTTGCAGAATGAATGAATGGATGGATGAACTTTATATATCCAGTCTCCTCTACCTAATCTCATGTGAGATGGAAGAAATTCCCACTCAAGAACAAAAATGATTTGTCCAATGAGTGAGCCTGTTGCCGTGGAGTCGGTGCTGACTCATATAGACCCAGGTGCTACTGAGCAGAGCTTTGTGCTTCGAGGAATAAAGGTGTGGCAGTCTGCTTCCACAAAGACTTACAGCCTTGGAGTCCCTCTGGGGCGGTTCTGCTCCATCTTACAGGATCACTGTGAGTGATCTTTATGGCAGCAGGTTACCAGGCTTCTGCGTGGGTTCAAACCACCAACCTGTGGGTTAGTACTTGAGTGTGACCCATTTGAGCGACCCTGGGACTAAAGAGGGCATAAAAGAGAGGGGATGTCAAGTCCTGAAATTTCTGTTGGAGACTCAGGTTCTTAGATGAGAACTTAGAAGGGCATTTTAAGGATGAGAGAAGGAAGCCACTGACTCCTTATAGGTCTTTGAATGGTAATACTGACTACAAAGCATTGGTTGAGTATACAAACACACACACACACACACACACACACACACGGAGCACTTGGCTACTAATGTAAAGCTCAGCAGTTTTAACCCACCCAGTTGTTGTTAGGTGCCACTGAGTCAGTTCTGACTCATAGCGATCTTATGCACAATAGAACAAAACCCTGCCCAGTTCTGCACCATTCTCCCAGCCATCACTATGTCTGAGTCCAATGTGTCCATTGTGGCCATCTCGTTGAGGGCTGTCCTCGTTCTCTGATCCTTCTCTTCACTCCAGGGAATGATTCCTCCTGACAGCATGTCCAGAGTAGGCGAGACACTCTCACTATCCTCACTGCTAAGGAACCTTCTAGCTCTGATTCTTCCAAGAAAGATTTGCCCATGGTACTTTTCAATGTTCTTCTCCAACACCATCATTCAAATATATTGACTCTTCTACAATCTTCCTTAGTCACTGTCCACCTTTCACATGCATATGAGGTGATTGAAATGACGATGGCTTAGGTCAGGTGCATCTTAGTACACAAACTGACATCTTTGTATTTGAATATGTTAAAGAGGTCTTGTGCAGCACATTTTCCTAATGCAGTATTTAATTTGATTTCTTGATTGCTGATTTCATGAGTGTTGATTATGGATCCTACCAAAATGAAGTCTTTTCTCCATTTATCATGATGTTATCTATTAGTCCAGTTGGCAGATTTTTGTTGTCTTTACCTTGAGGTATAATTCATACTGAAGACCGTAGTCTCTGATCTTCCATCAGTAAGCATTTTAAGTCTTCTTCACTTTCAGAAAGCAAGCTTGTGTCATCTTCATATTGCAGATTCTTATCAAGTCTTCCTCCACTCCTGATACCACGCTCTTCTTCATCAGGTTATTTGCTCAGCATAAAGATTGAGTAAGTATGGTGAAAAGATGCAACCTTTGTAAATACTTTTCCTGATTTAAGATCATTCAGTACCCCCTTGCTTTGTTCAAACAGCTGCCTCCTGGTCTGTGGACAGGCTCTTCATGAGCACATATAAGTGTTTTGGAATATTCATTCTTCTAAACGTTGTCTATAGTTTGTTATTGTCCATACATTTGAGTGCCTTTGAATAGTCAGCAAAGTACATATAAGCACCTTCCTGCTTTTCTTTTCAGCTAAGAGCCATCTAATGTCAGCAGTGATAACCCTCATTCCACGTCATCTTATGAATCCAGCTTGAATTTCTGACAATTCCCTGTTGATGCAACCATTTTTAAATTACCTTCAGCAAAACTTTACTTGCATATGGTATTAATAATATTGATTTATGATTTCTGCATTCCATTGAATCTCCTTTCTTTGGAATGGGCACAAATATGGATCTCTTCCCATCAGTTGGCCAGGTAGCTGTCTTCCAAATGTCTTGACCCAGATGAGTGAATGCCCCCAGTGCTGCATCAGTATGCTGAAACATTTCAACTGATATCCACCAATTCCTGGAGCCTTGTTGTTGTTGTTGTTGTTGTTGTTGTTTGCCTGTGCCTTCAGTACAGCTTGGACTTCCTCCTTCAGTACCACTGACTTGATCATATGCTACCTCTTGAAATGGTTGCGCATTGGCCGATTCCTTTTGGTACAGTGATTATGTGTATTCTTTCCATCTTCTTTTGATGCTTCCTACATCGTTCAATAGTTTGTCTATAGAATTCCATTCTCTCGGTTTGAGAAGGCTGAGCATGTTCTTCCCTTTTGGTTTTCCAGGTCTTTGTACATTTCATCATAATACTTACTTTATCTTCTCGAGCTGCCCTTTAAGTTTTTCTGTTCAGCATTTTTATTTCCTCATTTCTTACAGTTGCTTTAGCCTCTGTGTGCTCAAGAACAACTTTCAGAGTCTCTTCGGACACCTTTTTTGGTCTTTTCTTTCTTTCCTGTCTTTTTTTTTTTTTTAATGTTTTTATTTTGGATTGAGTGAACTTTCCTATCTTTTCAATGACCTTTTGCTTTCTTCCCATGTGATATTCTTGATACCGTCCCACAGCTCTTCTGGTGTTTGGTCATTAGTGTCTAATACATCAATTCTCTTCTTGAGATGGTCTCTAAATTCAAGTGGGTTGTGTTCAAGGTCATATTGTGTTTCTTGTGGACTTGTTTTAATTTTCTTAAGCTTAAACCTGAACTTGCGTATGAGCAACTGGTGATCTGTTCCACAGTCAACCCCCGACCTTATTTTGGCTGTTTGATATTGAGCTTCTCAAGTGTGGCGTTATGGGTTAATGCACTGGACTGCAAAGTTGGTTTAAATCACAAGGTTGGCAGTTCAAGCTCACTGGAAACCTTATATACAGGATCGCTATGGGTTGGAACCGACTTGACAGCACTTAACAACAAAACAATTGTCTTTTCCCACAGATATAGTTGATTTGATTCCTGTGTAGTCCATCTGATGAGGTCCATATTTTATATTGTTGTGATCTTCAGCATCATTTCTATCACCGTGGCCACATTTTCCAACCACTGATCCATCTTCTTTGCTTTCAACTTTCACATGCCAATCACCAGTGATTATTAACACATCTTGATTACTTTATTTAATAAATTTCACTCTGAAGAAGTTGGTAGAATTCTTAATTTCATTATCACTGGCTTTAGTGGTTGGTGTGTAAATTTGAATACTAGTGGCATTAACTAGTCTTTCTTTAGTCGTATAGTTATGATCCTGTCACATACAGCTATCGTACTTCACAATAGACCTTGATACATGCTTCTGGATGATGAATGGAACACCATTTCTCTTCAATTTGCTGTTCCCAGTATAGTAAACCGTATGAATGTTGGATTCAGAATGGGCTCCATTTAATTTTTGATGATTTCCAGTTTTCCTAGACTCATACTTAATACAGTCCACATTCTGATTATTAATGGATGTTTGTAGCTATTTCTTTTCATTTTGATTTGTGTCCCATCAACAAATGAAGGTCCCCAAAACATCAAGGTCACTTTGCTTTGAGGAGGCAGCACTATTCCAGTCATGTTTTGAGTGCCTTTCACCTCATCTTCCAGAACTACACCTGACAATGCTCTGCTGCAATTTAGAAGGTTTTCAGTAGCTAACTATTCAGAAGTGATCTGCCTCTCCTTCCTCCTAGTCTGATTTAGTCTTAATCTGCATATGATCTATCAAGATGACAGTCAAGAAAACCCTCTGTAACATGGTGTCTCTACAAGTCAGAGCCAACTGAAAGGCACTCAGTAATAACACACACAAACGTGTCTATGGAAAGCACGAGAATCCTAAGTATAAACCCAGTGTTGTAGGTTATAGTTGTCTCTGGTCAGAAAGAGGGAGCGTGGACAGATAAGGGACACATGGGTGGATGTAAACTCTGGGGAATGTTCTAGTTCTAGGGATGGGTAGTGAATTTACAGGTATTATATTTTTTAAAATGTTGTTAAGTGCTGTCGAGTTGGTTCCAACTCACAGCGACCCTTTCTAGGGTCTCTGAGGTGCCGCTGGTGGGCTTGAACTGACCCTAGTGGTTCACAGTCCAGTGCTGATCCTACAGCGCCACACCAGGAGTCCTTTAGGAATATAAGAAAATACATTTAAAATAAATAAGGAGCCTTGCAGTCTCAGTGCTGATAAGTGTATCACAAACTACCAGCCAAGAAACCAAATCTCCTGCCATCAAGTCAGTTCCGACTCAACAACCTATTGGGCTTTTATAGAACTAAGGGTTATGATTAATCCAGTTCTGTATACTTGCATCCCTTCAAAGGATTTAAGAAAACGCTAGTGGTTAAGAAATACTAGTGGTGCTAGTTGTGAACCCCAAGGTCGGCGGTTCAAACCCACCAACTGCTCCTCGGAAACCCTATACAGGGTCGCTATGAGTCGGAACCGACTTGATGGTGCTCAATCACAGCAAGTCGTAACTACACTGAGAGCTGCAGTCTTCAAAGTTGTCCTCTGGGTGTTAGTGCGCTGACTTAATGGCTCTGTGAAGCAGCTATCTCTCCTCTTATCGGTGAGGAAATGGAAGCACAAAAAGGTTGGGGAGTGTAACCCTGCTCTTAGTCATTGGCCGTATCAGTCAGCACTCAGACGGGTGACCCGCTCTAGCCTCTGTTCTCCTAATCACAGCGTTCAACTGCCCCTAGTGGATGGAGCTGAGGAACGAGCAGGGCTCCCTTGAGACTTGGCCCTGTTTGAGCTGAGAAGTCTTTCTTACATCATGGGAAGTCCAGGATTGCCACCACCCATGGACTAAAGTCGGTGGTCATTTCCTTTTCCCTCCCAGGTTTCCCTGCTCTGGACTCTGCCCTCGCAGAAGACACTGAAGAAGAAGCCATCTTTGACATGCTTCTCTCTACTGGATCCCAGGTGAGACATGGTTTCTTCTGACTTGGTTCTCACGTATGGGTACTTACCTCGCTGATGTGTGGTCCTGCCATATCCCATGGAGTCATGTTCCTATTTCCTCCCATTCTTCCTAGAAATGCTAGTGTGTACAAGTAGACTTGGATACTGGATGCTTCAACTGAGCCTCTTTCGTCTGCCTGCTTTATCTCAGAATTTCTTCTGACTCTTTGTAACCTCCTCTCCTTTTTAATTTTTCTCCATCTCATTTAGCATTTCCATTTTTCATGTCTTTTAGATGAACTGCGTGTTTTAATTTATTTGAGTATTCCATGTTATCTGTCCCCAAGCACAGCCACTGCCGTCTACTCAGTTTGGACTCCAGCGGCTCTTTAGGACAGGGCACAACTGCTCCGTAGGCTTTCCAAAGCTGTTCATCTTTACAGAAGCAAATGTCACAGCTTTCTCCCAAGGAGCAGCTGGTGGGTTCCGACTACTGACCGTGTGGTTCGCAGCCAAGTACTTTAACTGCTGTGCCACTAGGGCCTTTCCACTTAGCTCCACTGTTTGGTTTATTCACCAGGAAAAGATGTATAAGTCTTGCTTCCGTAAAAACTGTGTAGCCTTGGAAAGTCTCTGGGGTAGTTCTTCCCTGCCCTATAGGCTCTCTGTGAGTTGGGATTCATCTAGACAGTAGTGGATAATGGGTACTGCCTTCTCCATGCATTTTGTACTTTCATTTCCCCTTTTTACGTAGCAGGGGATGGAAGCAGAAAAGCTAACTTGTTGATGTATGCCATTGAATCTGTTCTGACTCATGGTGAGCCCATTGTGACAGAAAAGAACTCCTCTGTCGGGTTTTGTAGACTGCAGTGCTTACGGGAGATCACCAGGTCTCTGGCTGTATGGCTGCGGCAGCTGCTGCTCTCGTGGCATCAGGTCTGACTCATAACGACCTGTATAAGGATTCTGAGACTGTAAATCTTTACAGAAGCCAAAAGTCTTATCTTTCTCTTGCAGGGCAACTGGTGGATTGAAAACGCTGATGGGACTGTTAGCAGCCCAAGGCATAACCCACGGTGCTAGCTGGCTTCCGTGTGTAACTGCAGTTTATGAATTTGTAGCTCTACACTCTTATATGCCGGTCCTGTCATCGGTCTGTCTCTTTTACTGTAAATGGGTCCTTGGGTTGTTTCCAGCTTTGAGATGTTAAAAGACAAACACCATTATGAACATACCTCTATCTGTCTCCCACACCTGAGCAAGTGATTGGAGGAACAGGAGTTCTGAGTCCAAAGTGACTTCCTAATTTCTTTTTCTCTAGTCTGGTGCTATGGTGCTGGACTGCAAAGTCGGTTTAAACCGCAAGGTGAGCAGTTCAAAGTCACCAACTGCTCCTAGGAAACCCGATACAGGGTGGCTATGAATAGGAACCGACTCGATGGCATTTTAACAACAACCATTTTATTAGAGACCCTGATTTGTACAACACCTGGTATTGTGACATTCCCTAATTTTTGTCAGTTGAATGGGTATAAAGTGCTACTTTGTCATTTGTATCTGCATTGCATTTTGATTTGCATTTCCTTGATCACTAATAAGATTGACTATCTCTTCATGCTTATCAGCTCTTTGTAACCCTCCTACTCAAATTCCCTAGGCTCGTAAAAACCAGACTCAAGCTCCCGAAGCTCATAAAAACCAAAGCCAGGATTTAAACCCAACTCCCCTCGATTCTTGAGGCAGAGGGCATACTGCTCAGCTTTTTAATTAAAACGTCTTCTTGCTTAGTCTCTTTATCAAGTGGCTTAAAAGGCTAACACCCCCCAGCCCCATGCCCCACCCAACCCGAATCTGCAGTGCTTATTAGCAGCTGGAACTTTATTGTTAGGTGTTGGTAGAGTCGGATCCAACTCCCGTCAACCTGACTTGTGTTAGAGTAGAACTGAACTGCATAGTGTTTTCTTGCCTCTGACCTTTCTGGAAGCAGATTGCAGGACCATCCTTTTAGTGATTTAGTGGGGGCAAACTGTGCCGTCTGTGCTCAGAAGAGTTCCCACTTCCCGCAGCTTATGGGACAAGGAAAGGTGCCTGGCTTGGTCCCTGAGACGCTCTGCCTGCCTGGATACCTGTCTCCCTACTCAGCCCCACCTGTGGCAATCTGTGGAGGAATTGAGGATGTTTCCTGTGTTGTAGGAGTTGGTGACCTTCCAGGATGTGGCTGTGGACTTCACCCCGGAGGAATTAAGCTACCTCACTGCTGCTCAGAGGAACCTCTACCGGGAAGTGATGTTGGAGAATTACCAGAACCTGGTCTCCGTCGGTAAGTGTGCCCTCTCTGTGCCCCAGCTTCTCCCATTAGAATCCCGGGGCTCCACACTCTTCAGTTTCCATCAGTGACCATAGTCCACCCAGCCACTCTCCGTATCACAGAGTCTCGTTAGAATCACCCCGGGTCATAAAACAGCTCACTTTTCCAGAGCACTTAATACAAGGCAGCAAGGAGGCCAGAGGCACCGCTGGTAAGCACTTAGCTGTTAACCAAAAGGTCCAAGAGATCTGGCAATCTGCTTTGGTAAAGATGATCAGAAAGCCAGACCCAGGGCTGTCGGCTCTGTTCGGACTCAGCAACCACGTAGGATAGAGCAGAATTACCTCAGGGTCTCCCAGTCTGTAAGCTTGTCAGAAACTTGTGGTGGGTAGCTGACTCCATGGCACTTCCCAACAACAGCCTCTATGGCTCCCACAGAGCAGCTAGTGGGTTCGAACCACTACTCTTTGGGTTAGCAGCAGAGTGCTTTACTCACTGTACCACATGAGCTCCCCCCATAAAGAACACAGCCTAGAGACCCCGATGGCGCGTTTCCGCTCTGGCACCTGGCGTCTCAGGAGTCGGAATTGACTTGATAGCCCCCAACAAAAGCAGCAAGTAATCGTTACACTAGACCTATGAGGAAGTGTTGTTGTTAAGTTGTGGAGTTGCTTCGAATCATAGCGACACTGTATGGGGTTTCCAAGGAGCCGCTGGTGGGCTTAAACCTCCAACTTTGTGGCTAGCAGTTCAGTGCTTATCCTACAACACCACACTATTATGATTGTAGCCATTTTACAGATGATGAAACCAAGGCATGGAAACGTTAAATTACTTGTCTAAGCCAAAGGACTACAAAGTGGCAGAGCCGGGATTTGAACCTGGCGTGTCTGACTCATGTGTCAGCTCCTTTAATTGATGTTAATGTGGCAACACCTTCAGTGCCCCCCCCCAAAAATATATATATATATATTGACGTGACATTGGTTTCTTTTTATAAGATTGCTATAAAGTGTACATTTAACATAAGCGTATTTAAGAAAGGAGTGAGCCGGAGTAAAACATTGAGTAATATCATAAACAGCATTCATCGAAAGCCAAAATGAGAGGGCCACTTAGGAATCTGTCGGCGTACGCATTGTCGTTGCTCATCAGTGCCGTTGAGTCGGTTCTGACCCATAGTGACCCTGTCTTAGGTACACAAAGTAGACGCTAATTCCCGTTCTCCTGAACATTGCATTTCAACTGGGGAGAGACAGACACTAAGGAAGTAGATGGAAAGGTGGCTACCAGTGACAGACGTTTGGGAACCAGTGACCTAATCGGGGAGGGGAGCCTATTAAGAGAAAGAAGGACTGGAAATTGTCACAGGAGGATAAAGAACCTCTTGTTGTCCTGAGCAGCAGACTCTCCAAGTTCAAGTCTAGCTAGAGCCCAGCCTGCTGCCCTCACATCCCATTCACATTTCCGACTTCAGAGCAGCATCTCTGAACCTTATCACTGCTGACAGTAGGATCAGGAAGGTTCTTTGTGGTGGGCGCCACCCTGCATGCTGTAGCTTGCTTAACAGCATCCCTGGTCTCCGTCCCACCCCTACCCAGGCAGTGACAGCTAAGGTGGTCTCCAGACATCGTCAGATGCTCCCTGGGGGCAAAATCCTTGAGAGCCACTGCTCTAGGGGCTCAAGTTCCTGTGTGAGTGTGCACCTTCTGGAGTCTTCCAAAGTCTTTAAAGGTTTTCTTTTCTAGGATTTCGTACTGAATGATCTCCAGCAGTAGTCAGGTTCAGAAATGGGAAATGTAACACTCAGGAAATACACGGATAATAGGAGACTCTGTTTGAAGGAGCAAATACTTGTTTTTCATTGTTGTTGTTGTTATGTGCCATCGAGTCGGTTCCGACCCATAGCGACCCTGTATAGGGTTTCCGAGGGTGTAAATCTTTACTGGAGTAGAAAGCCTCATCTTTCTCCCGCGGAGCACCTGGTAGTTTCGAACCGCTGACCTTAAGGTTCGCAGCCCGATTCGTAAATTTCCCCAATATTGTAAAACTTTGCAGTGTTTTTTGTTTTATTTTGTTTAAATCAAAGACAGAGGCTCTGACTTCTGAACAGTTACGTCTGGTTCTGTGTAAATCCAGTGGAACCCCTAGTAAACAATGGGGTGAAGCTGGCTGACCGCCTCACGGAGCTGGTTTACATTTAGTCGTATCTATCTTTCAGTTTCTGTATGGTTGATCCTTTTTAAAAATGGAAATGATTTGCTCAAAATAGAAAAAGTCTTTGGTTTTAGATTATGACTATGTCTTCCAAGGTTTAGCAAGAGAAACTGATCTTTCCCCAACATCCAGTTCTGCCGTTGTGATAGCAGCTTACAAGTGTGTCTCCTCCACTAGGGCATCAGTTCGACAAGCCGGACCTTATCTCACAGCTAGAGAAAGAAGAGTGGTGTGGGATGGACGAAGACACAGATGTAGTGACACAAGGTAAGTCGGCGGAAGACCTGGAGATGGGGGGTAGGAGAGCATTCCTCGGAACCCAGCCAGGTCAGGGAGAAGGCTGGGCAGGGGGAAGGACTCTCATGTCAGGTGCCCACGTGGTCACTTTCTTCAGAACTTCCTTCTGTCCCCTTACCAAAGCTGGTATCTCTCTGCAGCTGCAGCTGGAGCCCCTCTCTTGTCCAGTCGTTCACGTCCACAGTCCTGTCCTCTTTAACAACACAAGCAAAGACAAATAGCACAACCCCACTTCTCTTCCCAGAAACCTTCTTACCATCTGATTTCCATCCCCCTGAACCCCAATACACCTCCCCATGCTGCTCTGCATCATTCTCAGAGGTCCCCACCAGCATCCTCCTGGCTCAGAGATGAGAACGTCTGGTGATGTTTCCCATTCCTCACGGAGCCCTCTTCTCCTCTTTGAATTGGGACATTGTATGTGTCCACTGGGACAGCTGTCCTTCAGTTGAAGTTCACAGAAAACCCACACCCAAGCTGACTTCCACCACCGAGCCGTCCGTGGGGCTTCAGGGATGTCCTCAAGAGTCTCCTTTCATAGTTTCTTTCAACTCTGCCAGCGAAGTCTAAAGGATGTGTGTGCTTTCTTGTCCTTGTCCAAAGAGAGAGAGAGCCAGGAAGCGTCTTTCTGGAAGCCCTTGACACTCTGTTTTCCGCTGTCCACACTGGGTCCCCTCACATTCCTGAACCAGAGAAGAACCAAGTGCTCACGGACCCACTTCCCTTCCTCCTCAGCCTGGGAACTAGGGTTAGAGTCAGCTTCTCCTGTGTGGGCAAAGATGTGATGCCCAAACAGAATGCAGTGTGTTACCGAGGCAACAAGGACCCGCAGTGGTAAATAATTATGCTGTCTGCTACTAACTGGAAGGTCAGTTGTTTGAACCCACTAGCAGGTCCTTATGTTCAAACTGTCATATGAGAATCAATCTTATATTCAAATTCCAGTGAGTTTTGGTTTTTTGACCCTTAGAAACCCTATTGTTGTTAAGTGCCACGGAATCAATTCTAACTCATAGCTCTCCTGTCTGTGTAGAGCCACTAGTGGGTTTGAACTGCTGACCTTGTGTCTTGCAGTCCAGTGCTTATCTTAAAGTACCACATCAGGATGAAAAGTTCTCTGGACTGCCAGGAGAACAGATCAGTCTGTTTTGGAAGTATGATCAGAATGCTCCTTAGAAGCCAGAATGGTGAGACTTCAGACATATTATCTATCAGGAGGGACCAGTCCCTGGAGAAGGACATCATGTTTGGTAAAGTGGAGGGTCTGCCAAAAAAGAGGAAGACCCCCCACAACAAGATGGACTGGCACAGTGGGTAACAGTGATTGTGAGGACGGCTGCCAGACTGGGTGCTGTTTCCGTCTGTTGTGCATTGGTCAGAATCGACTCGATGGCACCTGACAACAGCAAAAGGGTCACCATCAGGAGCAACTGGACAGCAGGGGGTGGTGTGTGTGTGTGTATGTGTGAGAGAGAGAGAGAGAAGGTAGTACAGGGAGTCCCTAAATGTCAGACACCCAGTTTCCCCTCTACTGACATCTTCAGCTACTTAGAGGCGCCCTGATAACACTCAGCTGCTAAAGAAAAGGTTTTATGATCCCATTAGCAGCCCCATGAGAGGAGAAAGCCCTATCAATTTGCACTTGTAAAGATTACAGACTGGGAAACCCTATGGGGAAGTTGGACTCTGTCAGAATCCCCTCAATGGCCCCCAATAACAAGGAGCAGCAGCACCGTTTGGTGACCCCCCCCCCACACACCCACACCCACTCTTTCTCTGGTCCGCTCCAATCCCTGGAGTTTCTCTCTTCTGCCTCTGCTATGTCCTTGCTAGCCTTAGTCGTTCTCTCCTTCATACCAGCCAGTTGCTAGGTGTCAGAGAAGAATGTGCTTTGTGGGGTTCTCAGTAACTGATTGTCCAGAAATAGATCAGCAGGCCTTTCATTCTGCCTCTGGGTGGACTTGAACCCCCAGCCTCACAATCAGTAGCTGAACACATTACCATTTGTACTACCCAGGAACCCCATTCTTTCCAGAAAACCCTCAAAACTGCTGAAGCTCTCTCCCGCCTTCTTTGGTCTTTGTCTTGTGTTTCACTATAACTGTCTCCCCACACTCTCCAGAGACCCTCACGCCCAGTACACCTACTATACTGGTGTCTCTGAGCAAAAAGAGAGTTGAGGGTGTTTGTTGTTTTTTTTTGAGGTGAAAATTTATGCAAGAGAAGGTATCAAAACAATGTGTATGGTGAAGTATCCATTGTTGTTCAAGTGCCGTTGAGTCTGTTCTGAATCATAGCGACCCTGTATAGGATTTCTGAGGAGAAGCTGGTGGGTTTGAACCACCAACCTTGTGGTTCACTGTCCAGTGCCTATCCTGTAGCGCTACACCTGGAGTTCACAGTGAATTATAGTTTGATCGTAAATATACTTGTCTATAAAACAGTGTTTTGAAAACTTTTTATTGTGATTTGGGTGAACATTTACAGAGGAAATTGATCTTCCCTCATATCCGTGAGCACTTCATACACATTTTACTTGGTGACTTGGACCACACTCCCCACAATGCCACAGCACTCTTCCCTTCCTCCCTAGGTTTTCCATTTGCATTCATCTGCCTTTCCTGTCCCTTTGTCCTGTGCCCTTTTGATCTCTGATGGTTGGCTATTCTAAAGAATAGGCACCTCCGTGGTGTCACCTGATAGAGCTATGTATTGTTTGACTGAAAACTGAGCCCAAGGATTCAGTTCAAGGCCTGAACTTGGGGGTTCCACCATCTGTTAGCCTGGTCATTTTCTTTTTTTAAATGTGTTTGCGTTTTGTTCCACATTTTACTCCACTTTATCCAGGAGCAAAGGAGCCCTGGCGGCATTATGGGATGAGCACTGGGCTTCAAACTGCAAGGTTGGCAGTTCAAACCCACCAGACCCTCCATGGGACAAAGATGAGAGTTACCGTCTTGGAATCCCCAAAGGAACAGTTCTACTCTGCCCTAAAGGTTAACTCTGAGTTGGAATAAACTCATTGACAAAGGGTTTGGGGAGATCCAGGACCAGCAGGGGAACTTTTCAATTTCTTTTAGATTGGGAGATGAACCCTGAAACCAAACAGCACAGTCTGATGCATAAAGCACTAGTGGAAAACTCGCCCCCGGGGGCAGGAGCAGAGGTGCCAGCAGCAGGTGACCATGCTGAAGAGCCCTTCGATGGGCAGCAGGAGGAGCAGGCGAGCCCTGCACCACCCAGCCAGCTCCAGCCCATCGCTCAGGAGGGAAGCCATGGTCCAGACCAGGCTCTCACTCCACAACCAGAGCCTCCTCCAGCCCAAGCTCCCCAGAGAGAGGCTACTCCAAATACCTGTACCAGTCTCTCGCCATTCCTCCAAAAGGGCAGGCCCAAAAGATGCGCATTTGAGGAAAGTAACTCCGTGGCCCAGAAGGAACTTGAGAGCAAATTAAGCAGTCATGCTGGGAGAGAACCCTTGGAAGGTGAGCCGAGTGGAAAAGTTCTTCGCCCCACGAAGCACCTGAAAAGACGCCCGAGGACCTGTCTGGGGCAGAAGTTCCCGGGATTCAGCGACAGCAGGCAACTCCAAAGGCCCTTGGGGATCCACAGCCAGGCTCCCCACCTCAAAAGACACCAGAGGACCAGTTCCAAGAAGAAGCCCCTGGGATACAGCTGCCGTGAGCAGTCTCGAGGGCCCCTGGGATCCAGCAGCAGAGAACGGCAGCCCCATGGGCACTTAGGGACCAGATACCTAGAAGGGCGGCAGCCCCCAGGGCCCCTGGGACCTGAAGGCCGTGAAGGCCAGGAGCTTCAGGGGACCCTAGGGACCGGGAATAGTGAAGGCAGGCAGCCCCGAGGGCCTCTGGGGACCGGATGTAGAGAAGGTGGGCAGCCCCGAGGGCTTCTGGGGACCAGTTATAATGAAGGCGGGCAGCCACCAGGGACCCTGGGGACTGGATGCAGAGAAGGGCGGCAGCCCCAAGGGCTCCTAGGAAACAGCTGTAGAGAAGGTGTGCAGCCTCCAGGGACCCTAGGGACCAGACACAGTGAAGGCAGGCAGCCACAAGGGACCCTGGGGACTGGATGCAGAGAAGGGAGGCAGCCCCAAGGGCTCCTGGGAACCAGCTGTAGAGAAGGTATGCAGCCACGAAGGACCCTAGGGACTGGACATACTGAAGGCGTACAGCCTCGAGGGCCCCTGGGGACAGGTTATAGTGAAGGTGGGCAACCCCGAGGGACCCTGGGGACTGGATGCAGAGAAAGGAGGCAGCCCCGAGGGCTCCTGGGGACCAGATGCAGTGAAGGCGGGCAGCCCCAAGGCATCCTGGGTACCGGATGTAGAGAAGGTGGGCAGCCTCGATGGACCCGACATAGTGAAGGCGTGCAGCCCCGAGGGACCCTGGGAACCGGATGCAGTGAAGGGAGGCAGCCCCTAGGACTCCTGGGGACCGGATGCAGTGAAGGTGGGCAGCCCCGAGGGACCCTGGGAACAGGATGCAGTGAAGGGAGGCAGCCCCTAGGACTCCTGGGGACCGGATGCAGTGAAGGTGGGCAGTTCCGAGGTCCCCTGGGAACCGGAAACATTGAAGGCAGGCAACCCCGAGGGCCCGTGGGAATCAGAAGCAGTGAAGGTGGGCGGCCTCGAGGGCCCCTGGAAGCCGGAAGCAATGACAGCGGGCCTCCGCAAAGACCCCTTCGGACCCCTAGCCAGGAGGGTTACTACGAGTGTCCCCAGTGTGACAGAGCTTTCATCCTGGAGTCACACCTCTTCCAACACCAACAAGCCCATGAAGCAGCCAAAGCTCTCCCCGCTGGGCTGCCCCGCGCTGCCAAGACCTATTCCATCCGTTACCTGCGAAGGCACAGCACGGACTGGGAGACGGCCTTCCAGTGTTGCGACTGCGGCAAGGCCTTCGAGCGGCACTCCCACCTCAGCCAGCACTACCGCGTTCATGCCCAGGAGCGACCCTTCCAGTGCCAGCTGTGTGGACGATGCTTCAGCCGGCCCTCGCATCTCACTCAGCACTACCAGCACCATTCTCGCGAGACAGCTGCTGCCGGGGGTCACTGATGAAGAGCCCGCCCCAGATTGTCCAACGTGACTGCCATCAAGTCAGATCCCGTGAGAGCTGCCTGCAGGACAGGATCACGATTTATATTAGCAGACAAGCGTTTAAATCTCTGCGACACTAGGGGTCCTGCCACCACACCTCACACCTTGTTGTTCAGTGCCATCCTGGTGTGACGCTGTGGGTTAATACGCTGGACTACAGGGTAGATCTGAATCGCATCATCGGCAGTTCAAGCCCACCAGCCGTGCCCTCAGAAACCTCATACAGACAGGGTCACTATGAGTTAGCATCCATCAACGGCATTCACCAACAACAGCAAGAAGTTGGTTCTAACTTACAGCAACCCTGTCTAGGGTTTCGGGGAGCTGGCTGGTGGGTTTGAACCACTGACCTTTCTCTTAGCAGTCCAGTGCTTACCCTACAGCATCACACCAGAATTCCACACTCAAAAATCCACACCATCGTTTGGTTAGAAAGCAGTGAATGGTTGCAAGCGCACAGGGCAGTCTCTTCCAAGAGTAGTCTGAACACACGTCTCAGTGGTCACATGTGAAAACGTCTCCAAGGAGTATCCTTGCCACGTCTGACGAAGCTAGTAGACTTTGCCTTTCTTCTAATCGTTGAATGAAGAACCTTGATTCTGACACATCACAAGGGCTCCACAAGGTCACCTAACTTTCTACAGGCGGTTTGCAGCTGTCCCTCTACTGTCCAGTCTGTGTCCATATGGGGCATGGTGAAGACATTACTGATGTGCCTGCAGTCTCACTTCAAGGGACACAGCGTTGTACCTAGCACAGGCAAGCAGACTCGAAGTTCATCCACCTGACGCAGCTGAGGTTGTAAGTGACGGAGCGGAGATTGGACCCGGGCCTTGGGATTTCTGCTTTGTGCCTCTCTGAAGAAAAGATGCAGTTCTGTACTGACTGCAGGCACCTTGCTGTCTCGGAACGCTGGCCTTGTTTCCTGTTAAATCAGAAAGGGAGACTTGGGGTGTGAAAAGGTTGCTTACAGTGAAGAGCTGATTGTCATTTGTCTGGATGTTTAGGATTAGTGTATGCTGTCAAATCGATTCTGACCCCATGTCACAGAGTAGAATTACCCATTACAGTACTCTTGTCTGTGATCTCTACAGGAACCAGATCACCAGGTGGGTTTGAACCAGCAACCTCCCAGTTAGCAACCGAGTGCTTAACTGTTGTACCACCACGGCTATCGGGCACCAAACTGACACTTTCTCTTTGTCATCACCAATAGGATTAAGAGAGAGCTGCACACTGTACCCAAACAGAGAGTGTCTTTGCATGTAGTGTCTGACGGGGAAATTCTCAGTGGTGCGATTTCTGAGCCCACAGATCTGTGTGTCTCGCAGGTTAGGAAACAACCTTCACCTGCATGATCTGAAAACTATGTTGTGTTTTTCTCTAGGGGACGACTAAACCATTCAGCTTTAGCCCAGCCCCTTCTCCTTGAAGAAATGGCACTCTGGACCCGTAAAGCACAGGACTGGAGCCAATTAAATCCAAATAACTTGTTAGAACGCTAATTCACGACTTTTTCTTGTGAACTAAGTCAAGGTTTGTAGAGCAGCTCTTTAGCTGTACATTCAACAAATCAGACACTTAATTTCATTTCAATCTTGCAATCCCCTCCAGGTAACATCACCTATCCCCCACTTCCTCCCTCTGATGCTTGATTCTATTCCTCCTTTCGCAACCCTTCTGAATTTTGTCCTAAACCCTTCTGAGTTTTGTCCTTTGCTCAATGCTGCCTCTTTGAATTAAATGGATGATTATTTCCATAGTGTGGGAGTAGCCCCAGGGGTGAGAGTGGGGAAAGGAGGGAGATTCCCTGGCACCTCTGTGTCTTTTCTTGCCTGTACACAGATGGTCTTATTACTTACTGGCAGACCTCAGAAATATTATGAGCTCTGTTCCAGGCCACACAACAAAGCACACATTACAATCAAGCAAGTCACAAGAATTTTTTGGTTTCCCAATGCATATTAAACTTTTGCGCACACTCTAGTCTGTTAAGTATGCAATAGCAAAACGGGGGAGTTTGAACTATTGTGAGAATTGCCAAATTGTGACAGAGACAGACTTTCTCCGTAGACTTGAAGGGTTGCCACAAACCTTCAATTTGTAAAACACCCAAAATCTGTGAAGCAGAAGACGAGGCACCCCTGTGGTTTGGGATGGTCACGGACGGTGTTCAGCTGTAATCAATCTGCGTTTGCCATCGCAGATCCTGTGTGTTTCAGCCAATCTCGCACCTTCGGCAACATCTCTCATCAGCCCCTTCATCTTCATTCACACAGAGTCATTTCATGAGCCCTGCATTCTTGTGGGGTTTTTTAAAAGCGGTTGTATGTCTGTGTATTTTCATAGACGTGACATATATATGCAGTCTTTTGGCTATTTTTTCCAGAATACAATGTATACTCATCAGTGTTTTTTCAAAGCAGCCTTTTGGGGATTTGACTGTTACTGCATTGAACTTGCAAACAACTTAAGGGTTCCCATTGTTACATTTAACCTTAGCGCCCAGGAATAGGACATTGTCCTTGCATTTATTCAGACTTCTGTATCAGTCAATAAAGTTTTATAGTGTGCTTCACAAGTTTCCCTGGTTTAGTGATTTGTGCCTGTATCTTAATGAATTGTGAATTGTTGGTTTTTTGTTTTTAATTGCTGTTAAGTGCCATCAAGTCAGTTCTGACTCACAGCAACCCCACAGAGGGTTTCTGAGGAGAGGCTGGTGGATTTGAACTGCCAACCCTCGGTTCAAACCGACCTTGCGGTCCAGTGCATTATCCTGGAGCGTCACACCAAGGCTTTCAATGATTGCTCTTAAGTGCTGGCTTCTCAGGAATTGGGGTCACTGCAGCAGTGCCAAGAAATTCGGAAAGTTCGGAGGCAGACCAACCTCATTTAGCTGCTTCACTGAAGCCCCCAGTGCCTGGGTTCAAGTGAGGCCTCCAAGAGCAGCAGCCTAGTTATCGTCCCTCTGCACCTGTGCCCAGTAGGTGGACAGCCTCGCTATGACGTTTGTCCAAGTGACTCAAAACATTAGGGGCTGCAAGTGTGCTAGAAATGATGAGACCCAGGGGCCCATTTCCCGGAAAAATGCAGAGAAATCTAGCAGCATGGTTGGGCAGGTACACACACACACACAACACTCTTGCACACATGCACACTCCTGCCTCCTGCCTCTGGGTGAGGTCAGCACTGCCCCTACCTATGGCGTAGGTGCCCAGGCCATCTTAGAATCAGATTTCCTCCAGGTGGGACCATTGCTGTGGTGTCTGGCCCCTTAAGCCATTCAGGTAAAAAAGCAAATTTGGAGGGAAGAGGCAAAAGTATCCCCTCAATGGGACGCAAACTCAGCTGTTAGAGGAGCCAGTGGGCTGGCAGGGGATGTGGTGAATGGACGGAGAATTCCCGCTTCTAGAAGGGCCTCCCAGAAGGGCCCTGATGGCGTGCTTGCGCACACAGAGTTTGTGCTCGGTTGCGCACCAAAAGGTTGGTTGCTGGAAACCTGCTCAGCTCAGTAGCTCCTTAGGAGAAACATATCTTAATGAAAACACTAGGCAGACGCTCCATCAGAAAACAAACGAACGACTCTGTTGAAGGAATAATTGCATTTCATGAAATGAAGTCCACGTGGCATCTTACAAGAAAACGTAAGATGTGTAGGTCCTCCCTTGTAGGAGAAACAGTACGCTTTTATTTGGTAAGGCAAAAAAAAAAAAAGGAAACAGTTTCACATCAAAGAGAAGTTCTGGGAAGGGAGGAAAATTTACAAGGAACTTTCTTAACAATTCTTAGGCAAACATGAATTCCTTATCTACTGATACAACTTGATTAAAACCATCTTTCGGAAGCACACTATGCAAAAGTTTTGCTATGGGTATCTTGTGACTGAATGAGGGTCAGGTCGATTCCAGGTGAAGTCCTTGAAATGGGAAAACGGATTCATTTGGTTAAAAACAGAAGAAGGTTGACTCAACTCTAACCTGAAGTTTTTGAAACATAAAAAATTATTTATCTGGCTATGGGGAAGTGAAAATGGCTTAGGCAATCCATCTGGTAATTGAAGGAACAGTTAAGATACCAAACAATTCTTTGTCTGGGTTAGTAATTCTGATTCGTGTCTTTGTTACTCACACAATAATAGTTTGACAAGGAAAAGGCTGAATGGCTTTCCTTGGAAACGTAGAAATGAACATCTTAATTTAAAATGAGTTTTGATTGATGTCTGAAGTCGCCTTATTCAGATATGCTGTTGTTATTAACAGCATTCATTGAGTTGGTTTCAACTCATAGCAACCCTAGATAGGGTTTCCAAGGATCGGCTGGTGGGTTTGAACTTGTAACCACAGCAGTCACGGTGAGCAGTCCAGTGGTGATCCTTAGATCTGCTAGCATCTGGACTTGTCTAAGTTTCGCCTTTACCTGGGAGATTGCAGACACATGCTGGTGGGGGCCATGCAGATCCCTGGAAGGAGTTTTGGTCACATGATAATGCCCAATGTTCACATGTCCCTATTGTTGTTGCTAATTACCTACAGTCAAGTAAGAATCATGGTGCCCATGCATATGTGTAGAGTAGAAGTGCTCCCTACGGTTTCCAAGGTTGTGACCTTTCAAAAGCAGAGCGCCAGCCAGACCTGTCATCTGAGGAATCGCTGTGTGGTTTCAAACAACCACCTTTTGGCTTGTAGTTAAGCACTTAACTGTCGGTACCACCTTCTGTACGTGGTTGTTGTTCTTAGGTGCCATCGAGTTGATACCGACCCATAGCGACCTTATGCACTGAAGAACGAAAGCTGCCCAATCCTGGGCCAACCTCACTACTGTTACCACGCTTGAGTCCATCAATGCTGCCGCTTGGCCAATCCATCTCACTGGGGGTCTTCCTCTCTGACCCTCCACCTTACCACACATGATATCCTTCTCCAGCGACTGGTCCCTCCCGACAATATGTCCGAACTATGAGAGATGAAGTTGGCCATCCTGGCTTCCAAGGAGCACTCTGGCTGCACTTCTTCCAACACAGATCTATTGGTTCTTTTGGCAGCCCATGGCACTTTCAATATTCTCCTTCAGCATCATAACTCAAAGCATCAATTCTTCCACAGTCTTCCTTATTCACTGTCTGAAGTGATTTCTCATGCATATGAGCTTGTTGAAAATACCAT